TTACCATATCATATCTTTCTCCTTAAAACCTTACCTATATCATATCTTTCTCCTTAAAACCTTACCTATATCATATCTTTCTCCTTAAAACCTTACCTATATCATATCTTTCTCCTTAAAACCTACCTATATCATATATCTTTCTCCTTAAAACCTTACCTATATTCATATCTTTCTCCTTAAACCTTACCTATATCATATCTTTCTCCTTAAAACCTTACCTATATCATATCTTTCTCCTTAAAACCTTACCTATATATCTTTCTCCTTAAAACCTTACCTATATCATATCTTTCTCCTTAAAACCTTACCTATATATATCTTTCTTAAACCTTACCTATATAAAACCTTACCTATATCATATCTTTAAACCTTACCTATATCATATCTTTCTCTTAAACCTTACCTATATCATATCTTCTCCTTAAAACCTTACCTATATATCTTTCTCCTTAAAACCTTACCTATATCATATCTTTCTCCTTAAAACCTTACCTATATCATATCTTTCTCCTTAAAACCTTACCTATATCATATCTTTCTCCTTAAAACCTTACCTATATATCTTTCTCCTTAAAACCTTCCTATATCATATCTTTCTCCTTAAAACCTTACCTATACCATATCTTTCTCCCAACCTTACCTATATCATATCTTTCTCCTTAAAACCTTACCTATATCATATCTTTCTCCTTAAAACCTTACCTATATGTCTTTCCCCATTGCCCAGTTTACGCCGTCCTGAGATCACCTTAACCACACGTGCTATAACCTTCATTTAACACAACGTGGGTAATTCTAGCGACCTGGGATTCCGTGTTCTTAAACCTCCCAACGCACTGATATTCCCTCCCTCCCCTTGAGACCTCCGCCCGGTCGCTGGTAATGATATATAAACTCTAAAACGGGGGTGTCTGCGTCCGGATTTTTCAGATTTGAAGGTTTAGTGTTCGTTCTATCCCCGACCGGGTGTGGTTTGATAATGAAACCTGAGTCAACAGCGACCAAATGGGCGGAAATCTGTTGAATAAATCGTGTCTTCTTGAAACCTGTCGGGGGTGACTTTCGTGTTTCCTGTTTTTGGGGGTAAGTTTTTTTTATCTATTTTTTTTTATTGATGTGTTTTTTTCTTTCCTTATTAGATATGGTTCTCTCCGCTGCATTAACGAGAGCGTTGTTGTTCTGTCTCCTTAGGGGGGTTTTCTCGATCAAATATTTAGATTTACATAATTAAAGGAATGATTCGTTGGGGGGGGGGAAACTCACAGACCTGGCATTGTTCAGAATTGTCCCGCTTGTGATGGCTCCTCCACCCGATTTCCCTGTCAATTCTTGGGTTTTCTGAGGATGGAGGGATTCCTTGGGATATATAAATATTATTACAATATATATATATATATATATAATATATATATATATATATATATATATTATTTAATAAAATCTTCCCTCTCAATGTAGTAGATTTTTCCTCCCTCTCGATACAGTAGATTATCCTCTCGGACACAGTAGCATACCCTCTTTCGACACAGTAGCTTTCCTCTCTCGACACATAGGCATACCTCTCTCGACACAGTAGCATACCCTCTCTCGACAGCAGTAGCATACTCCTCCTCTCGACACAGTAGCATACCTTTCTCGACACAGTACAACCCTCTTTCGACACAGTAGCTTACCCTCTTCGACACAGTAGCTTACCCTCTTTCGACAGCAGTAGCTTACCTCTTTCGCACATGAACGACACAGTAGCTTACCCTCTCTCGACACAGTAGCATACCCTCTTTCGACACAGTAAGCTTACCCTCTTTCGACACAGTAGCTTACTCCTCTCTTCGACACAGTAGCTTTACCCTCTCTCGAACACAGTAGCATACCTCTCTCTCGACACAGTAGCTTACCCTCTCTCGACACAGTAGCATACCCTCTCTCGACACAGTAGCATACCCTCTCTCGACACAGTAAGCATACCTCTCTCGACACAGTAGCTTACCCTCTTTCGACACAGTAGCTTACCCTCTTTCGACACAGTAAAGCTTACCTCTTTCGACACAGTAGCTTACCGCTCTTCGACACAGTAGCTACCCTCTTCGAACACAGTAGCTTAACTCTTTCGACACAGTAGCTTACCCTCTTTCGACACAGTAGCTTACCTCTCTCGACACGTAGCATACCCTCTTTCGAAACAAGTAGCTACCCTCTTCGACACAGTGCTCTCTTCGACACAGTAGCTACTCCTCTCGACACAGTTCGACACAGTAGCTTACCCTCTTCTCGACACAGTAGCCATTACCCTCTCTCGGACACAGTAGCAATACCCTCTCTCGACACAGTAGCATACCCTCTCGTCACACAAGTAGCTTACCTCTCTCGACACAGTAGCATACCTCTTTGACGACACTAGCATACCCTCTCTCGACACAGTAGCATACGCACCATATCCCTTTTCGACACAGTAGCTTACCCTCTTTCGAAACAGTAGCTTTACCCTCTCCTCGAACACAGTAGCATACCCTCTCTCGACACAGCTTACCCCTCTCTCGACCCAGTAGCACACCCTCTCTCGACACAGTAGCTTACCCTCCTCGACACAGTAGGCATACCCTCTCTCGACACAGTAGCATCACCCTCTCTCGACACACAAGTAGATTACTCTCTCTCGACGCACAGTAAATTACGCCTACCCTCTCTCGACACAGTAGCATACCCTCTCTCGATACAGTAGCATACCCTCCTCTCGACACAGTAGATTATCCTCTCGACACAGTAGCATACACTCTCTCGACAACAGGTAGCATACCCTCTCTCGACACAGTAGGCATTACCCTCTTTCGACACAGTAGCTTACCCTGGGCTTTACCCTTCTTGCATACCCTGCTCTCGAAATCGTTAGCTTGTCTCTCGACACTCTCTCTCGAACCAGTCGCTACCTTCTCGACACAGTAAGCATACCCTCCTCGCCACAGTAAGCATAGACCCTCTACCCTCTCTCACACGTAGCAGTAGCATACCCTCTCTCGAATACAAGTAGCTACCTCTCTCGACCAGTAGATATCCTCTCGACACAGTAGCATACACTCTCTCGACACAGTAGCATACCTCTCTCTGACAAGCGCAAAAATCACAGTAGCATACCCTCGCTCTGAGCGACACAGTAGCATACCCTCTCTCCACTAGCTCTCGACACGAGCATACCGCTCTCTCGACACAGTAGCATACCCTCTCTCGACACAGTAGCATTACCCCGCTCAGTCTCGACACAGTAGCATACCCTCTCTCGACGCAGTAGCATACCCTCTCTCGACGCAGTAGCATACCCTCTCTCGACACAGTAGCATACCCTCGACACAGTAGCTTACCTGCTCTGCGACAACAGTAGCATACCCTCTCTCGACACAGTAGCACCCTCTCTTAGCCATACTCTCGCAACACAGTAGCATACGACAGTAGCTCTCGAACAGCCCCTTCTC